GACAGGTCCAGAGGGGAAGACCAGAGTGGTTTGTTTGAAGAACGTTTTTGTCCTTACAGTCCAAACCCGAAGGAGGGGAGTTGGTCCTTCAGTCCAAGGAGTGAGCAGCAGAGGGAAATCCAACGAGGGTCCAAGGGAACGAGGAAGGCTGGCAACTGGAGGCAAAAATGGCACGAGGAATACCTGACAGGCCGAGGGATCCAGATCAGGTCACGAGGAGATCCAAAAACACGAGGAACCAGGAAACTGGAAAAGAGAACACAGGTGAACAAATTCTTTTCACCTAGACATTTCTAGCTCAACACTACTATACCATGAGAGGTGATATGCTCCAGCGATGAGTCACACTGGGCTGCAGCCTTAAGTAGATGGAGAGGCTCATCAGGCTGATGACCGCCAGGTGTTGTTAATCAGCGGCCATCAGCAAGGCAGGCTGCAGGCAGTGGGACCCTTACACTACAAGCATGTCTTAAAGACATAAAAACCTGGATGACCCTTAATTTTCTCCTGTTGAACACAGACAAGACTGAGGTTTTGGTTTTTGGACCTGAGCACCTTAGGAATGAATTTTTCAGTCTTTCTCCCTCCTTAGATGGCATTAATCTGTCCTCCAGCTCTAATGTTAAAAATCTTGGTGTTATTTTTGATCAGGACATGTCTTTTATCCCCCACATTAAAAACGTTACTAGAACCACCTTCTTCCACCTGCGTAATATCACTAAAATTAGAAACATCTTATCTAAAAATGATGCAGAAAAACTGGTCCATGCATTTGTCATGTCTAGACTGGACTATTGCAATGGTTTATTATCTGGATGTCCAAATACGTCTTTAAAACATCTTCAGTTGATCCAAAATGCTGCTGCCAGAGTCTTAAATTGAGTTAGTAGGAGAGATCATATTTCTCCAGTTTTAGTTTCCCTCCATTGGCTCCCTGTCAAATCCAGAATAGAATTCAAAATCTTACTTCTAACCTACAAAGCTCTCAACAACCTGGCTCCATCTTATATTACAGATCTTATTGTTCCACATTTTCCTAACAGAGCACTTCTCTCTCAGGGTGCAGGTTTACTTATGGTTCCTAGAATTTACAAAAGCAGAATGGGAGGCAGATCCTCTCTTGTGGAACCAACTTACAATCTCTGTCCGTGAGGCTGACACATTATCCAGTTTTAAAACTAGGCTTAAGACTCTCTTTTTTGCTAAATCCTAGTTAGAGTCGGCTTGGGTTTCCTGAGCTGTCCGTTAATTGTGCTGCTATAGGCTTAGACTGCTGGAGGACAAACTGACCACTTTTTTTTTTCCCACTCTGCTACTGACTTTACTTACTCTGCTCAACCTGTTTTGTATTTGTAATTATTTTTTCTATCCTCAACCTTTTTTTTTCTTTCTATCTTTCAGGTACATCTGGACCTACCATTCTGTGTTCCTTTGTTTCTCCTTCCTGTCCTCTCAAATCAGCCGGTCAAAGCAGATGGCCGCTTGTCCTGAGCCTGGTTCTGCTGGAGGTTTCTTCCTTTTAAAAGGGAGTTTTTCTTTCCACTGTTGCCACTGTGCTTGCTCTGGATGGGAGACTGTAACAAAGCCAAGATTCAACTTGTCTGCTGGATTCCTTAGATAGAGAACTTTACTAATTGGCTTTTGTATGTGAATTTTTCTGTAAAGTGCCCTGAGACAACTTTGTTGTGATTTGGTGCTATATAAATAAACTGAAGTGAACTGAAAGGTGAGGAATCAGCCCAGAACTACACAGGAGGAGCTGGTCAATGACCTGAAGAGAGCTGGCACCACTGTTTCCAAGGTTACTGTGGGTAATACACTAAGACGTCATAGTTTAAAATCATGCATGGCACGGAAGGTTCCATCCATACATCCATTATCTTTTACCCGCTTCTTCTATTTTGGGTCACGGGGGTCGCCGGTGCCCATGTCCGACAATCATTGTGCGAGGGGCGGGGTACACCCTGGACAGGTCGCAAGTCCATCACAGGGCCACATAGAGACAAACAACCATTCACTCTCACTCACACCTTCAGACAATTTAGAGTTACCAATCAGCTTAACATGCATGTTTTTGGTCTGTGGGAGGAAACCGGAGCACCCGGAGAAAACCCACGCATGCACGGAGAGAACATGCAAACTCGACCCAGAAAGGCCGCTGGACCGGGATTTGAACCAGGGACCTGCTTGCTGAGAGGCAGCAGCTCTACTAGTTGCACCACTGTGCTGCCCGGCACGGACGGTTCCTCTGCTTAAATCAGCACACGCCCAGGCCCGTCTTAAGTTTGCCCGTGACCATTTGGATGATCCAGAGGAGTCATGGGAGAAAGTTCTGTGGTCAGACAAGACCAAAATAGACCTTTTTGGACTTAATTCCACTCGTCGTGTTTGGAGGACGAAGAATGAGGAGTACCATCCCAAAAACACAATCACTACTGTGAAGCATGGGGTGGAAGCATCATGCTTTGGGGGTGCTTTTCTGCACATGGGACAGGACGACTGCACTGTATTAAGGAGAGGATGACCGGGGCCATGTATTGAGAGATTTTGGGGAACAACCTCCTTCCCTCAGTTAGAGCATTGAAGATGGGTCGAGGCTGGGTCTTCCAACATGACAATGACCTGAAGCACACAGCCAGGAGAACCAAGGAGTGGCTCCGTAAGAAGCATATCAAGGTTCTGGAGTGGCCTAGCCAGTCTCCAGACCTAAACACTATACAAAAACTTTGGAGGGAGCTCAAACTCTGTGTTTCTCATCGACAGCCCAGAAACCTGGCTGATCTAGAGATCTGTTTGGAGGAATGGGCCAAAATCCTGCTGCAGTAAACCTGGTGAAAAGCTACAGGAAACCTTTGACCTCTGTAACTGCAAACAAAAGCTACTGTACCAAATATTAACATTGATTTTCACAGGTGTTCAAATACTTATTTGCAGCAATAGCACACTAAAAATCATACATTGTGATTTCTGGATTATTTTTTTTTTTGTTTAGATTATGTCTCTCACAGTGGACATGCACCTAAAATGAACATTTCAGATCCCTCCACGATTTCTAAGTGGGAGAACTTGCAAAGTCACAGGGTGTTCAAATACTTATTTTCCTCACTGTATATACTATATATATATGTATTCTATATATACTATATATACTTATAAATGTATATACACTATATATATATACACACACACAATATATATGCTATATAGTATATATATATATATATATAGTATCTATAGATTTATATAAATTTGGTCTGTCTGTCTATAGCTAGACAGACAGAGAAATGATTTAGTTGAACCACACTTCAAATGCAATTACAAGTTTCCATTAACTAGTATTTTGATTACTTTTGGCATATTGAAGTTATTTCAGAGTCAACTGTCTTTTTTAATGTTTTTACAAAAAGGTACAAGGTTATTTGTTTGGGAATAAATAGATATTACAGGAAAATATCAAATATGTAATGTACTGTACTTATATAGCACCTTTCTATCTAATCAAGATACTCAAAGCGCTTTACACAATTTGTGCCACATGTACCCATTCATACAGCACTCTACTAGATCTCTACAAAGCTAATTGAACAAATCATTCTGAAGAGACTAATCAGAGCTTTATCACATTCATACACCGATGGGACACATTGGAGGCGATGAGGGGTTCAGTGTCTTGCCCATGGACACTTCGGCATGTGACTGCTATTGGATTCGAACCCCCAACTCTTGCATTGGAGGACGACTGCTCTAACCACTCAGCCACAGCATATCATATATGGAATATCATTTTTTAAGAAGTGTAAAGAACAAGCAGCTGCCACAATAAAAAAATAAAGACACAAGGAAAAAAAACACTTTTATTAATAATCATGACAACATTAATGAGCACACTTCTCCCTTTTTGTTCTGCTCATGAGTGCAACCAGCAGAATTAAATAAAACATGTTAAACAAACACAAAGACAAGTTCTGCACATCCAAGCTAAAGTTTACATCATCTTTAATGCTTTGCACTTTCATTACAACATAAAAATAGACCAAAGAGTAGTTTAAAAAAATGTGCAAACAGCTTAATAAATTCAGTTTTTGTTTAAAAAAAATCCATTGAGATTACTAAAGAGCTGATTCTTTTTGGCATCCTGGACTCAGTTTGAACTGGGAGGTTCTTCAGGTTTTACTTTTTACACCAGTTTAATGATGCAGTGAGAAGGAGCTCTCTTGGTGGTTATTATTTACAGCCCAACATAACACTAGAGGAAGGAAGTGAATGTAGCATACCATTAGTTTATGAATGTGCAGTATTAATACTTGACTGTCAGAATTTTCTCAGGGTATTAGAGATGATTGAATCTTTTTTCATTTCACAGCTGTTAGAAGCTGGAGGTCTGGATTAAACCACATGAAATGGGCAGCGGGATGCAAGTCACCAGAGTTTTTATTTTCACTTATGGCTTTAGGTCACTGGTACAGTGAGTCATCATGCAACTCTGAAAGAAAGCGTGGTCCCTGCTGGCCTTCCCAAGCCACCACATTAGAGGCTGTGTGACCCCCCACCCCGCTGCAGCCTGCCAGGAGCCATGAAGCTGTAAAACAACCGCGCTCCACAAACACTAATGAGTCAGGGTCCAAACAAAGACTCCACGACAGATTTAACTTCAGACTCACCAGAGGTCATGCTAAAATAAGACGCCCCGCCGCCTCTGCTGAGCTGCAGCTTCAGGCCGACACATCAACAAACACACAAACCTAAACATGTTTTTATGCAACTTCTAGCAGTAAGCCCTTTTTGACCGTGTAATCAACCTGTAATTACAACTCTTTAATTTTTTTTTAAGTAAAATGGGAACAGGAAGATTTTTTAATGCCAATTTCTCAGTTTCTCATAAAATCTATTCAGGAGAGTTTAAACTGAGTTTTTGATACATTTACAGAGCTAGACTGTCCTGATGTGTCTTCTTAGACTATTAAACATGTGAGGCCTACATAACCTACTGAGGTGTTTTTAACAGCTGCATGATATATACATCTTCACATTTCTGTTTGTGTTTTAGGTTTTTAATGCAGAGAGGATCAATAACTATAAATGTTTCATAAAACCAGTTCAATCTGGTCATTTTAATCCAAGCCACGACTCACTGCAGGTGCTCCACACACAGATATCATGAACCAGACCTTGAATCAAACACAGTGATCGTCACTGCTTTTTCCACAGACACGAACTCCCCCCTCTCTCAGTAAACAACCCGTCCCTGCAAAGAGCTTTTTGAACAAATGAAAATAGATCAGTCTGTCTGGATCTCCACAGTCGGCAGTCATGGGGGGATCTTTCCGTTGTCCAAAGCCAGAGGTCTGATCCAGGTTTTTAGGTGGTCAGCTTGGAGTAACTGGGTGGAGAGAAGCGTCGCCGCAGGTACTTGAGGATGTAAAGGGGCAAACAGCTCACCAGGGTGATGGTGGTTACCTTCCACAGGAACGGTACGGTGGTGATGAAGTATATGTCTGGCACAGATGAAAGGTCAAAGGTCAGACAGATGGAGAATACACACAATGTTCATCAATCCTGGATAGATGTTTCCTCATTTCTGCAGCCCAGCTCAGAATGAATAAACTGTGTTTTAGACTTTAAATTAGGTTAAATAATTTTTTTAGATAACAAACCCAATTTCAAATAAGTTAGGACATTGTGTAAAATAAATAAAAAAAAAGATCTGATAATTGTCTGGATGATGTGAGCCCTGTTCAGCAACCAGACTCTTAATCCTGAAATCCAGTTGTAATGGATACAGTGTGTGGTTTAGTAATGTCTTGCTGAAATATGCAAGGCTTCCGTGGAAAAGACATCATCTGGACAGGAGCACGCTTGTTCTAAAACCTGTATTTACTGTTGGAGCTGAGCATCTTAGGAATACATTTTGAAGCCTTTCACTTCCTCTGGATGGCATTAATCTATCAATCAATATAAGTACAGTCCATTTTACTATTAATCTGGCCTCCAGTTCTAAAGTTAAAAATGTTGGTGTTAATTTTGATCAGGATATGTCTTTTAACCCCCATATTAAAAATGTTAACAAAACTGCCTTCTTCCACCTGCGTAATATCACTAAGATTAGAAACATCTTGTCCAAAAATGATGCAGAAAAACTGGTCCATGCATTTGTCACATCTAGACTGGACTATTGCAATGGTTTATTATCTGGGTGTCCAAATATTTCTTTAAAACATCTTCAGTTGATCCAAAATGCTGCTACCAGTGTCTTATCTGGAGTTAGTGGGAGATATCATATCTCTCCAGTTTTAGCTTCTCTACACTGGTTCCCTGTCAAATCCAGAATATAATTCAAAATCTTACTTCTAACCTACAAAGCTCTCAACAACCTAGCTCCATCTTACCAGTATATTCGAGATCTTATTGTTCCATATTTTCCTAACAGAGCACTCACTCTCAGACTGCAGGTTTACTTGTGGTTCCTAGAGTTTCCAAAAGCAGAATGGGTGGCAGAGCTTTCAGTTATCAGGCTCCTTCTTGTGGAACCAACTTCCAGTTTCTGTCCATGAGGCTGACACATTGTCCAGTTTTAAGACTAGGCTTAAGATTTTCCTTTTTGATAAATCCTATAGTTGGGGTCGGCTTGGGTTTCCTGAGCTATCCCTTAGATATGCTGCTATAGGCTTAAACTGCTGGAGGACAAATTGATCACATTTCCTCGCTCTGTTGCGGTCTTTAATTGCTCTACTCTACTTGTTTTGTATTTGTAATTATTTCTATCTATAACGTGGGTTTATTTGTCTTTCCTCCAAAGTGTACCTAGAAAGTACATCTGGACCTGCCATTCTGTGTTCGTTTGTCTCTCCTTCCTGTCCTCTCACAGGCAAGCTGGTCAAAGTAAATGGCCGTTCGTCCTAAGTCTGGTTAGAGCAGTCGTTCTCCAATGCAGGAGTTGGGAGTTCCAATCCACCAGCAGTCACATGCCGAAGTGTCCCTGGGCACGACACTGAACCCCTCATTGCCTCCGATGTGTGTCCCATCGGTGTATGAATGTGATGAAGCTCTGATTAGTCTCTTTAGAATGATTTGTTCAATTAGCTTTGTAGAGATCTAGTAGAGTGCTGTATGAATGGGTAAATGAGGCACAGATTGTTGTAAAGAGCTTTGAGTATGTAAGATAGAAAGGTGCTATATAAGTACAGCCCATTCACTGTAACTTTTACTAAATGGCTTTTATAATGTATGTGAATGTTTCTGTTCAGTGCACTGCGACAACTTCTGTTGTGACTTGGTTCTATATAAATAAACTGACCTGAACTGAGTTTACTTTTCTGCATTGATGCTGCCATGCTACATGTGTAAGCAGCCCATGGGGGGGCACAAATGCTATCTGTGAGACAGGCTTTTAAAGTGTGTGCTGATAACGCACTAGATGGTCCCTCTCCCTTTTAGTACAGATAACATCGTATCCATGGTCCCTCCCCACACCCCCAAAATAAATCTATTAATTTGTCTAATCAGAGAACAGTTTTCTACTTTGCCTCAGTCCATTTTAAATTAACTTTGACCCAGAAAAATGGACGGTATTAGCATATAAATTTTTGCATGATAGAGCTTTAACCAGCATTTCAGGATGACAGTGAACTGTGTTTACAGACAGTGATTTGTAGAAGTGTGTCTGAGTCCATGCAGTGATGTTCAGAACAGAATCAGAACTTTTTAAAGAGTGGCCCCTGAGGGATCAAAGACCATGAACATCCAACACTGACTTTCAGCCTCATCCTTTGATCTTAGAGATTTCTTGAAATCTTTTGATGAGATTATGAACTGTAAATGATTAAATGATAGATGGGATAATTAAAGTCTTAAATCTATAATAGGGGGCATTTTTCTGAAATTGTTCCACTATTTTTAGACAGATTTTAACAGGTAAGTGAACCTCTGCCCATCTTTAGTTCTGAGAGATTCAGCCTCTGTAAAATGTTCCTTTTATACCCAGTCCTCTTACTGACCAGCTGGCATTTAACCTAACTAGTTACAAAATTCTGTTTCTTATTGGTACCAATTACTTTTACAACCTTTGTTCTGGTGAACACACCAAGATTAATTGGAGGATGAACTTTTGTCTCCCAGTTAATATCCCAAGGCAGTCCAACCTGCCAAGCTGAAAGATGCACAAAGGTTTGGAGCAATCAAAGTCCAGTATGGGTAGTGATTTAGCTGTGTCGACAATCAGCGGCAGCAGCTCCTACAGACTCATTCAGTGTGAGTGATTACATTTAGCCTGTGACTCAAACACAAATGCTTTAGTTCACTCTTCTACTACTGAGGTTTGTTTTTCAAATGGTCTCAAAGATTTAACAGATTCTTCTGTAAAACAAAACATCTAATGTTCATTCAACCTTTATTTAAACAGATTAATCCCATTGAGCCTCGAGGACTCATTTACAAGAGAGACCTGAAAATGTATCAGTGGACGGGCTGCAGATGTTCATAAGCAACTACACGGACCGTTAGGCAGCTGACTGGAATTGGATGATTTTTTTTAGCCAATTTAAAACAAGGTACTCAAATCCTCACCCCCAACACAGTGAACACATTAGAACAAAGCAACACACCTTCTCTTTTTCTCCGTTCTCAGTCAGTGAGGTTAATAAACTGTTAAAAGATCTTGATCCTAAAAAATTTGCAGATCCAGATGAACTTCCACCTTATTTCTTAAGGCTGGCTGCTCATATCATCACAGTTCCTGTGACCCACATCTTTAATCTCTCCATAAGACAAAACTCCATCCCAGACACTTGGAAAACAGCCTTTGTTCATCATTTGCTGAAGGGAGGTGACCCCACCTCACTGAACAACTATCGGCCAATCTCTAAACTCTGCATTTTAGCCAAGGTTCTAGAAAAACTGATAAACTCTCAAATCAAAAATTACCTGGACTCATTTAACATCTTACCTCCACATCAATCTGGTTTCAGGAAACAACACAGCACAACCACTGCTTCACTGAAGGTTCTTAATGATGTTGTTGAAGCACTGGATGCTAAGGATTATTGTGCTGCACTTTTCTTAGACCTGTCTAAAGCTTTTGACACTGTGGATCAGAACATCTTGTGTCATAAACTCTCAGAAATCGGTTTCTCAGATCACACCATTGGTTGGTTCTCTAACTATCTCTCAGACCGGAGGCAATGTGTTCTACATAATGGTACTTCCTCCAGTTATTTAACAGTCAACAATGGTGTACCACAAGGCTCAGTCTTAGGACCCACCCTCTTTACAATCTACATACATAATGTAGGTAAAAACATCCCTAACGCATCCATACATTTCTACGCTGATGACACAGTTGTTTATTGTCGAGCTAAAACTGTTGATAAGGCTTTCCAGCTTTTGAAATCTGCATTCAACAACATCCAGACAGATTTGTTTCGCCTCAAACTTGTCCTAAATGCCGACAAAACCAAAGGGATGCTTTTTTCAAATAGGAAGTTGGTCCCAGCAGTTCTTCCTCCGATTTTATCCTCAAATGGTGTCCCGATAGAGTTTGTTGATTCCTATAAATATTTGGTTATCTTGGTCGACTCGCATCTCTCTTTTAAGCTTCATGTGGAAAATTTGGTAAAGAAACTGAAAGTTAAACTGGGTTTCTTTTTCAGAAACAGATCCTGTCTAACCCTGAATGCTAGAAAACGCCTTGTATCTGTGACTTTCCTTCCCTCAATTGATTATGGTGACATTATTTACAAGAACGCTCCTACAAGAACCCTGCAGATGTTGGATGCTGTCTATCACGGTGCACTAAGATTCATAACTGGCTGTGATTATCGTACCCACCACTGCACCCTGTATTCACTGGTTAACTGGACATCATCAACTTCACGCAGACTCTCTCACTGGTACATTTTCATCTATAAATCACTTCTTGGTCTGCTGCCTTCATACATCTCCTCCTACATGTCTCTGCGTGAGTGCAGCTATGGCGTGCACTCTCAGGACTTTATTACCTGCAGTGTTCCCTCAGTGAGGACTGAACTAGGCAAAAGGGCCTTCTCCTACTCTGCTCCCGTTTCCTGGAATATCTTACAAAAAGATTTGAAGCTCTCGACCTTGACCTCTCTAAGTGGCTTTAAGAATCTGTTGGACTCCTGGCAGGGACCAATGCAGACATGTTCCTGATTTTAGTTTTCTACATTCGCCTTAGAATCTAGCTGTTTTTTTTTTTTACTTTTTTTTTTAGCCATCCTATTTGTTTAAAAAAAAAAAACTGGAGTATGACTTTTTATAACTGTTTATTGTTGTCACTGTTGTCCATTGTTGTCATCTTTCTTTGTTGAAATTAGGTCTCTCTTGTAAATGAGTCCTCGAGGCCCAATGGGATTTACGTGTCTAAATAAAGGTTGAATGAATGAAAAAAATTCCCACTATCTCAAAAGTACAAAGAAAATACACCAAAAAAGTTTTAAAGTACCCTAACAGCAAAGTGTAGAAATGTCTGCTGCTGACAATGTCCACAATGTGATCAAACTACAAAAAATTAATTTATGTCTCCATATAAAAAAATGTTAGATTTTTTAAATTTTATTTCTGGGCTTCTTCAGGACAAATGTGAACAGGAACAATATTGATCCAGACAGCCTGAACTGCAACAGACAGGGAACATGGAGTGTAAACTACACATGTAAGCAAACAGCATCTATTTCAGTCTGACTTCAAGTGGGAGAGAAAGGCCCAAAAGGGTACCATGACCACAGGCTGGTCATAATCATCAGTGGTCGAGATTGCAGGCTGAAAATGGAACTCCACACCCAACATAAAGCTGAAAATAAAGACCTGGAGTTTTTGGTCATAGCTTTGTTTGTATCATAAGGCCTTTTGTGGAAAACGTAGAAATGGTTTATGTTTTTGTCTTCTAAAGCAAACAAACGTCCAATAGTCTGGCAACACTAACACACAAACTAAACCAGCCATTCTTCTGCTCGTAAGGCTTTGTTCTGAACGTGATGCTGTCTGACTCCGTTTTTCTATTTTTCTTCTATCAAACACACCTCTATTTCTATAAACAAACCCTCACAGCTCGCAGGAAACTAACTCGACTGGTGGCATTTCCTCTTTGGTACTCCAACGTGCCTGAACCAGAGGCACACCAGGACGTTTTGTCAATACACTCACCTCTACACTTCCTTATATCCAGCAGACTGCAGCGTATTGTACACTGGAGACCCATTACAAATGAGCAGGACCCCCCCACCACCACCACCACTGAATGCTGACGTACTACTTCAAGGCCGACCGCAGCACAATAACATGATTCAGTTTGCAGGGAAACTAATGAGGATGTTTGTTTTCTTGTCTCAGTGAACTGCACTGCTCCAGGATCAGCCAGCCTCAGTGTGGGTGAAATAATGAGTTCACGAGTATAGGAATGTTCTCTCACCTATGAATTCATGCAAGAAAACGAGCGAGGCGATGTAACACGCCAAGCTCAGGAGCTCGCCGACGATCATGAGCCAGTGCCACGTCTGAATGGTCAGCGCCACCATCAGCAGCTCTGTCAGGATGAGGGAGGTGAAGGAAATGGCAACAATGTGGACGAACTCGGACTCAAAGAGCAGCAGAGCTCCATACATGATGATACTCCCTGAGGAGGACACAAAGAGCAAAGACACGAGGACAAACACAACTTAGGCTTTGGTCACCACGATTAGCCTTTTTGATTTGTGGGATAACAAAGAAAAATAAAGTTTTTACATCAACCAAAGCTGTGCACAAGTATATACACAGCAGTTCAGAGGACGAAACATAAAATAAAGAGTTTCTATTTATAATGCAAAGTCTTTAAGCCCAATATTTCATTCAAAATTATTTGGACTGGTTCAATAGAAAACACAAAAAATGCATTGAAGCCATTAACATAAAGCCCATTTATTAACTCTGGATGCAAAACTGAACAAATGTTACTGAACAAGGGTGGGAATGAAAGAAAGAAAGTGTTTGTGTGTGGGGGGGGGGGGGGGGGGGGGGGGGGTTTATGGTTGTTTTTTTGTTGTTAGTTCTTGTTGGATGTTACAGCCCCG